CAGCAGCTGTTTGCACTTTGATTTGTGTTGCCCTTTAGCAGGCATTTTGGGACTATTAATAGGAGAATTCCTTCCAAAAGCTAGGGAAATGCTGGAAGAAGAAAATACTACTTCTTCTGATGAAGAAGCCTGTGCAGGTTCAGTATTGAAAGATCTGGTGGAGCCTGAAGGTTTCTCTAATTCTAGGGTCTTAATTTCAGTAGCTCTTAGCAGTCCTCACTTTGCTTTGTTCTTGGCAGTTCAAGGATAGACTGAATATTGCTAGTGAAAGCCACTGGTTTCTGCAGGACTTCCTCCAGAAGCAGGGTCTAATACTCAATATGAATTATTAACTTTTTTTCTTTTGAATGAGAGCTGAAGTGCAAGAAACCAGGGCATTTTGCTGAAGTTGTTACTCTGAAAACATGTTGAAGACTTTTCAAAGCTTTGCTTTCAAAAAGCTTTCAAAATTGAGAGCAATTCTGTGTATCTTACAAAGACCATGCCAGGCTGGCAAGACTTATTCTAAGAGATATTGAAAGTGCTGCAGTCCCATCTAAGATGTAAATAGTACTTTTGTTTTTATTAACACTGTTGTCTGTATTTGTCCTCTTGAGCACGCTAAAAATACGGGTTATGGGTTTTGGAAAGTAGAGAGCCTTGTCTGAAGTGCCAATGTGAAAGAAACATAAAGGAGAGTGGAGCATAGTTGTACAAAGGAAAAATTTGTCTCAGAAGTGATTTCCTTTTAAGAGACTAGAACCTATTATGAAAGCAAGAGGTTAAAAAAGGCAGTATTATAGCAATTACTAGGATCTCTTGTTATGACAGCATGAAAGGGGATTCTGTCTTTGGTGATACACAGAGTGTTTGCTCTTGGTAGATCTTGGTGTGTCCTTCCCAGCTGGGAAATTTGGACCTCACCAAGAGCATCTCATCCTCGCCATGAGCTTGTCTGCTCATCAGGGCCTGCTCTATAGCTCATCCATCCCTGACACTTCGAGGCATTTTTCCTGTTCTTCAGCTGTGAAGGCTTGTGATCAGGAAAACATTGCTTGGTTTCTCTTACTGTTTTTATTCCACTGAACAAAACTCTTCAGACAAATCTGCCTGCCCCTTGTTGGTAATACAGTGATCCTAACAAAACATAATACCTCCATAGCTTTATATTTTATTTTGCAAAACATGCATTTTATTAAAAATCAAATGTAATTGCAATCGCTTATGATTTCAACTAAAATAACATTTTTATAAGATATGAATAAAATATGACATTTTAAAAAGAAAATAATGGCATTGCCAACACCAGGGGCTTAGGCTGACTTACCACAGAGCAGGTGTAAACTGTTATTTTGATCTGCCTGAAGATGCCACATCCCAAACCAGACTCATCTGCAGAACGTGTCCTGCTCAGGTGGGCTGTCTTTAAGTCACTCACTGTTCTGGATACCTATTAAATCAAGTTCTTAGCAATTACTCACTGTAATACAACATGCTCTTTTAACAGTTTTTACAGTCTTTTCACTAATAGATGATAGTGGAAGATTAGCCCCACTAATTTTTGTGTGTATACTTCTTAATCATAGCATTTAAAGGGGAAGCTGTACTATGAATATCTAATGAATAGCTTAAGGCAAGTTTATTCTCAAAAGTTATGTTACTATACTGGCACAGATCAATATAACCATTTATCACAATTGTCAACGTTTAAAAACTGTAGCCATCCCTTATGCACATCACTCATTTCCAATGTACATATGAGTAGGCTGTAACATGTTAAGATATTTGCAGCCTAAATCAAAAAATATTATATTAAATACATTCCATTTTAGAAAGGAATATATTGGGAATGAAACAAATATTTTTAAGATTATAATCTTTGTGTTGTAAAGAAATGAGTTTGCACAGCATGGAAAAAAAATCGTTGTCATGGATTTTTGTTAAAGAAATTCTTTAACGAATTGGTTTCTAAGGGAGTCATGTGCAATACAGATTGAGTTGTATTCTGCAGAGAGACACCATTTGGCTTCATGCCCAAAGTGAAGCTTTCAAATTAATCAATGCATGGAAATAATTAAAGAATGTATAATGCTTTGGTGCCTGTAATTGTTGTTGTTGTGCAGAACCGTAAGTTAGGCTCTTGGATGGATGTTGTGCAGCTCCCACAAACCTGTCTACGCAACCCAGGCTGGCTTTTCTTTGGCATCTGCTCATGTTAATCTCATGACTATATGATGTTTTTGCGTACTTACTCGTAGTCTTGTTTCTGTTTCCATCAAAACACTACCTAGCTAGACTTCCGCAAAAATAGAATATTTAGATTTACGACCATAGAATATATGGAATTGTCCCTAGATTTTTTTCCCTGTAAGAAATATGACTGTTTATGTAAGCACTAAGCGTGTACTTGATGAGGTGTCCCTTAGTTTGCAGTCAGTGTGTTAATGTGAAGCTCCAAGCTCAGTGCGGTAGGAGCGGGCGCTCATGTCCCCCGTCCCTCGCGCCGTGGGGCAGCTTGGGCTGCGGTGCAGCCGGAGCCCCTGGGGCAGGGCTGAGCGTGCGGCGGCACCGCGAGTGTGGGGCCGTGGAGCCCGTGGGGCCAGGCTGCCCTGGGATTCATCCGTACCCGTCAGCAGCCTGTGGGAGCGAGGTGCTCAGCTTGGCCTAGCTGAGCCAAGGCTGCTTGCTTCTGTTAACCTGGAGGTGCATAGCAACCCATAGCTCATTGTCACAGACCTGCCAGAACTTTTTTCACTGTGATTTTATGCATATTGGCTGACCTATCTGAATTTGTTAGATTTATTAAATGTCTGACTGGCCATAAGCTGCAGAAAGCTAACCAGGGAACCAAAATGAATGGGAAGAAAGCACCCTTACTGATTTTCCTTTCTGACATTTGAACAGATCCAATAGCATTTATATAACTTTCCCATTTGTACATTTAACTTTAAGATTTTTAAATGCCAGATTGTTCTAGTACCAAGAGTCACCAAGGTCATCGCTCCAAGATTTAGACATAGGCAGCATTATTTAGATGGTGGTAACATCATTGATTTTTTTAAATTGTATGAGGTTCACTGTGTTCTATGCCAGTTTTGTTTCAGATTTAATTTGAGGACATACTGCACCATGTAGTCCTTTTGGATTTCTGCAACTGTTGCATTTGGAGCCATCCTACTAGTGCAGAATTCCAACAGGAGTAAACATATGGGGATTCTTCCGTTGTTGGTTTACCCCACCATTTGTTCCTAGGTTTAAACCAACTGGTGCTGTACCCAGTGGAGTACATCTGTTACAGTTTATTACTAGAAATTTGCAATTCATTTCAGAGCTTACTAAATAATTATAATATTCACGGCCAAGAGTACTGTTAAGCAATTATGAAAGATGGGCAAAATTTTACTGAAGTGCTGTGTGATTCGGGAGCTAATGTCCGGCTCGCGCAGGCGTTTCGGGCGCTCGGCAGCCTGTCAGCAGCAAGTGAGATGTGTTCTGACAAGTGGGCTTGGTCAGCCAGAGAAATTAAGGTAGTAACTAAGATGCTGTGACATCCCTTATGTGAGTGATGCTGCTGTCTTTCAATTAAGAAGGAAACAAATTAGCAAAAGCCACTGCTGAATGCAGTTAGTTGCCATGCCTTGCTGCAGCACTCGGCTGAAGAGCAGCCAGGATGGAGAAGGGCTTTTGCTGTTGGATTTGTAGGGACACATCTGCCTCCCCGTTCTGGCCCATAGTGCAGGTCAATGTGTGGAGGCTGTTAAATGATCTATGGTGTTTGAATACTGTGCTCTGTCTTCCTCTCCCTGCTTCACACTAGATGGAAATTGCTATATTGGATTGTGTGTGTGCTTTTTTTGTTGTTTGCTGGTAGGATTTTCAAGTAGGTGAAATTCCTCCTGTGCTTTACAGGAGGAATGCATTACTGATTAGCCTTGAGTAAGCATTAAATAGTTAATTAGCACATGAACCCTTTGCATTTAAATAAGTCTACATAAGTGTCCTCACAATTCTGTACAGAGTGGACTACTTTTTCATTATCACCCATTCGAGCAGACTTTTAAAATAAGGAAACACCCTGACATATTCATAACCCCATCATATTCATGATTTGCAGTGTCTGTAAGTCAGTCTCGCACATCTTTGACATACGTAGTAACAGTGTAAACACACCCTCTGCACAGCAGTGGGGAAGTATGGTGCTAAAGTCAAGATTTTTAAAGGAAAACTTGCAAAATCCATTCTGGGAGCTACAGTTAGCAATATTGTGCATTTTGGGCCTCTAGCAGAGACCTGCGTCTGGAGCCTAAACGGGGTCAGTTTTGGTGCTAGGAAGTTGCCACCTGATTCTTTTGCAGAGCTAGTGTTCCAAAAGGCCATTTTTTCCCCTCACATTGCACTAGTCCAATGAAAGATACTGCAGACTTCATCTTGCTTGTATCTTTAGCCTGTTGCTGTCAGTTGAGAATACTGCTGTATTCCAAATGTTGTTTGTGTATTTGCAAATAAAACCATGGTAAGAGAAATCAAATTACTTCAGTGAACTTAACTTACTAGTTCACTGGGTATGGAAATGTGACCCTGTGAAGGGGAAGCTGTAACTTACACTGAAATAATTAAATAGCCTTTCCTAACCCTGCTCTTTTAAAATCTCTCTTTTTTTTTCTGTTTTAAAATCTTCTTTGCTTTACAAATTCTACTTGGAGCAATTTAATGAAATAGTCATGTTTCCATATACTGTATGTGCTAAACAGCCAGGGTGGAAACTATTATCATGGAGCCAAGACTGGCTGCTAGCTGTAAAAATGTTTTCTAGTAGTTGAAGTGCTTTTAAATATTCAAAGGTTAAATGGTTTGTATAATGCCAATCTGAACAAATTCATATGAGTTTATAGTGTTGAGCTGTCTTATTTTTGCTTAGTACAGTAAATCACTGAGAGGGCTTAGATGGCTTAAGAAATTTGAACTCTTTATTTTTTTGGAACTCTTTATTTATATTTTAACATTCTCTTTTCTTTCTGCAGAACATTCTGGCTTTAAATCCCCGAATACAGACTCATGCAGCCCTCCATTCAACTGCGTCAAAGAAGCAAGTTAAGAAGCAATGGAAAAGGAATTCTGATAAAAGCTGTTCAGTAAGTACACATTTACTAAGGTTGAAACCTCCATTGTGTAAGATGCTTAGACTTGAGCTTCTTGGCTTGTTCAGTAACTAAGTTTGGCTCATAGTTCTGTTTCTGTGGGTATAAAGGTGCTTCGTCATCAGTGATGGACACTTCAGAACCTGAACGTGCCTCACCTTGACTTTTTGGTGACTTGGTCTTTGATGCAGCAGATTCCCCTCCTGTTAGGGAGGCTCTTCAGTCTTCAGCGCGCAGTGAACTCGCTGCCTACACTGAGGCTCACGGAGGCAGCTGTGCTCGTGGGGTAGAGGACATCAGCTACCTCTGCTCTTCCTTCAAGTGTTTCTGATCAATTGCTCGTGTTTCTGATTTCCAAGAGTAACTCTGAGGAATGCTTCCTTTTTGAGACATTTAAAGAAAATGGGGGAACCCACTATAAACATATGCATACATATATGTGTATGTGTGTAGCAAGAGACAGAGTTGAGATTAAGTTTAGATTTTAGATCTTACTCATTGCATTTTTCAGGGAATAGAGTTTTAGAATCAATATTTTTCATCATAAACTGGCTAAATTCTTCAGTATTCCTGCTGTTAGATATCATCGTTTTATCTCTATGTACTTAGGTTCCTGGTCTCAGTATGATATTTGACTAATCCTATCAGAATTTGTTGTGTCTTTGATCTTTCAACTGATTAGAAAGCCTGTAGCATTTCGGCTGTCTTCATACAAAATCTGCTGGATAATCCTTTAAACTCAGAGGACTTTTACTACTAGAGTACTACTTCATCTCTGTAAGCTATTTCCCTCTTGGGTGTAATGCTATGGTGTGTTTTCATAGTGTTGCCAAAACACTTCCTCCTGCTAAATAAGAGAATAAAGGTTTCATACTTGACACTGATTCATTATTAAAGCTCCCTGAAGTTTCTCAAAATCAAAGGGATCCAGTTTCTTCGTTTTGTGAGGACAAAACATATCAACACTATCTGTTGGGAGGAGAAACCCAGGGATATCTGTAGTATTTCAGCCTTACTCTTAATTTATTTTCCTCTTCTATCATTGTTTACAATAATGTCTATCTTATCAGACACTAGCTGATATTTCTGTTTTCTTATTTTATTAAATTATATAATGCTTTCTTAATTGGAAAGTAGCATAGATGCAAAGCTTCAGTTTGTGAACAGAGATGATTATTTTGGGATGTCTGATGCGGTCGGTGCCCACAGCGTCTGCCTGTGCTGCACACGTAGCTGAGCTGCTCGGCAAGCGGCTCCTGGACAGCTGTGCTTTACAGCCTTGTGTTTTCAGGTGACCTGAAATAAGTACCGGGCTGTCAACTGCTGCGTTTCAGAAACTGTGTGCTAGGAAGTGCAGGTATCTGTGCAGCAGGGCACAGGTACGTCTGTGCGATAACCTCATCAGATATTCCAGCACAAATTACCCTGGCTGGCTCAAGATTAATCTATAGCATATATATGCTTATATACAGTACTAGTGGATGGGTTGCACAGGTGCACATCCCCACCATTTTCTAAAGTTGATAAACTTTAAGATTGCTCTTGGTGATCTTTAAGCTTTGCCTTGGTCATCTATAAGCTTTCCCTCATATCAGCCATTTCCTTGTTTGATTTTCATGCTCTATTTATTCATAAAATGTCTGCTATTTCAAGATTTTGCTGTTAATAATGGGAGCATTTTCCCAAAACTGTCTTCCTGCTCCCTTCCTCTTAGCCCAGTGTACCTTATTGTGTCTTAAAAGCTCTTGGAGCCCTAAAACACAAACTGCTTGATCTGTGCAAACAGCTCTGGTTTCAGGTTCATTGCTAGTTTGTGTAATCACAAATTTTCTATGGAGATTCTGATGTAGGGTGATGTCTTTGCCCAGATTTACAACCTACTCAGCAGCTTGGTTTTGGAGTTCTCTGTTACTGTGTAGAGACCTGTGGAATTAGAACCTTGTGCTGGCGTAGGTCTGCTCATGTCTTGCACCATATATCTTATAGTTTTAAAGATCAGAGGTAGCAGAATATGTGTATCTGTACAATCTGAATATGTACACACCCTGATCACAGATGACTTGCACTGCATGTTGTGAATTACCTATTAGAAATGTCTTAGTGGTAATAAGTAAGAATATGCTAGAACTGAATGGACAGTCAATATTTTTAGGCTAGTAATGATCCTTGTTTTTAGGACCCTCAAACTGTTTATTTTTCAGCAGAAAAACTCCACAGAACCAAAAATCAAGCCTAAGCATTTGTTTGGTATCTCACTCATAAAGGATTCTAGCAGAAAGCAAAGGACGACTTTTTTTTTTAAACATTCTCTAGCTCACCATTGAGAAGTGGTTGCCTTAGACAAAATGATATGATCCTTTCCTAGCCATTTTAAATTAAGGAAGCTAATTCAGGAAGGCATATGTTGAGCATATTTTTGTTACAGTCTATAAAGCCACTGGCAGTAATAGAGGCCTGTTGACAAACCGGGCCAAACTGTTTGCAGGCCATAGGAAGTGTACATGTTTGCCTTTCCTAAGGTCTGAAGCTGGCTTCTAGCTCCAGGTTCTTTTGAAGCTGTGCTGATGTCTGTGTAGAATTACTGTTGGAGGGAGGGTGGGAGTATGAAAATACAAAACTAATTAAATTAACAGCCCTCAAAACTCTGAACAAAAGCTGCATCTGCCGAGGCATACACGCAGTGACTTTGTAATGTCTAATACACTTCCAGATGGCAGACTTACATATTTCCTTGGAATAATTACACAAGTGAAATTTTAACTCCTAGTTTTCTTGGAGACACTGTGGTTGCCCATTAAATGAGCTCTGAAGTAGAAACTAGCTGTCAAACTTCTCTTCAACATGGGAAAAGCCTTCTCCTAAGGGAAGGTTCACATATGCTTTCAAGGAGAATTACTGTGTAAGCATCTGGATTTTGGTTCACTTTATGGCAGTAGATGCAAGATCAGTCAGCTTTCCTTTGGAAATCGTAACTCCAATTTATGTGAGGGTCTGTAAACTCCTCGTTGCTGAGTCATGCCAGGCTAATGCTAGGTGGTAGTGCTGGGGTGGTGGAGGATTTCTGTTGGCCATGAGAAATTAAATAGCCATTTCACAGCTTTTCTACACCAACACTAAATCCTGGAGGCGGCAATGTTTTTGTTATGCCGTGTGGAACTGTGTGGCTACTGTGAGGGCTGCTGCGTTTCAGAATTTTCCTGAATAATTCAGAATTTTTAGGCTTTTTTTGGACAAGGTCTTCTCATTTTGCATAGGGATTACATCAGTCTATAAGATATGTGTTTGTGGATATGTAGTCTTGGTGGCTGTCTTCCTCTATGATTTTTGCTTGCTTTAAATCATGAGCTTTTGGTGCATTCTGTGTGTGCTACCATTAATTCTGGCATATTAAAGTGCCTGTGAGTCATATTTCAAGGTGTTATGGACCAAGTTCTGCTTTTACTTGTATAGGTGCAGGCTTGCTGCATTACATGGATACTGTTTCAGTCTATTTCTTTATGTATATATTTGTATATATAAATTCACTACTCATTGGAGAATTTGGGATATTCTATTCCAGCCTTATTTGCTAAAGAAATATCGGAAGCATCTACCAACCTACCTGTGTATTGAGACTTCCTTCAACTTTTGCACTGAGCAGTAGTTGCTCCAGATGGAAGATTTGGAAGAATTTCAACAAGACAAAGGCAGAGAGGAAATGGGGTTTAAATTAGTTTCTAGTTAATTGCCATAGCCTGTAACAGTATTGATTTTTCTGGCAGTAATAGCATTGTTCTTTGTCCTTACACTTGCTAAGCCTGATCAGCGTTAGGCAATACCAGCCTCTCTTCCTTGAACAAAATAATTAAGCTCAGTTGTTTCTTGCAGGGATATCACTTTTGGGCAAGATTTTTTAGGTTTTCTGTGAGTCTCTTCAGTCATCAGTGGGAGAAACAAATTCTTCACATTGTCTTTTTCTGTAGAACTTAAAAGCGTGACCACCAGATTGCCCTGGTAGAGCCAGGCATGCAATTTACTGTAAGATACAGCAGATCATTCCTCTTAAAATGCAGAGAGCAAGGTCTCTTGTCTTAAAATAGTAGTAATGAGCATTTCCTAAAGCTTCAAACTGCTTTTCACTCTGATAGCATATCTGCTGCTGTAACTGCTATATATGAACCTGTGTAATAAGGAATCTTTATTAGCAAAAAAGTTTGTAATGACCTGTTTTCATTAAAATATACATATTTACATACAAAAGCCTATAAGTAAGATGATTCTTTCAGCTATAATCAGTTTGTTATTCTTTAAAGTATTGTCATACAGTCAGATAGATGGAAGAAATGTTGTGCCCCATCATGTAGCATGAGTGCACCAGTAACTGATGGGTTGAAGCAGAAATAGGGCACCTTGCAAGCAAGTAAATATAAAACATAGTTCACCTAAAGACTGAAATCAGGAAATTTAATGAATAAAAGCTTTTTCAGTAAATTGACCAATTCTGGAAACATTGATGAAAGTATTTATTATTAATAAAGAGAATCCCAAATGTTGTAAATAGAGAACATTCATTAAAGGAAATCAACTCAATTATCGCTATAATGTAAATGTATAGTTTACCTTTGCAAAATATTTATTTTTGTCGTCTTTGCAGATGAATATGCAAGTTTAGCTCTCGTCTGAGTGGATATACAATGGCAGATGTCTCTCTAATCGCTGCTCTATTCAAACATTAATTGGTAGAACATATGTAGAATTCTACGAGTCTGAATAGGTATAGGATAGCAGCAGTCTTTTTAATCACATCACTATTCAACCACTAATTGGTGTGATGATTAAGGGACATTAGAGGGAGCACTTTGACATCTGATTCTTTGAACTGATATCTGCTCAGGCTGCACTATATTCATCATGGCCAGACTGATTTCTTAAATAAAATGCTCTGATTCCCAAATGTGGAAAATATTGCATTAGGATCTATTGAGGTGATTAGGGAATTTGAGAATGATTCTCTT